CCGGGTTGCATAGTCACACTAAATTTCCCTTTCACTGGGTAGCCAGTCCCCTCTCTGTGCCCTGATTTCAAATCCAGTTTTGTCTCAGACATGCTGTGTGACCTTGAGAAAGTCACTTAACCTCTCTTAGTCTGTTTTCTTCATCTGTAAAATGGACATTAAGATAAGTAACTTCTTTTGAACCCTTTCTATGTGCCAGGCCCTGTGCTAAGTTACCTCAATGATCTTCACAATATCCAAAAGACATATGTGGATTTATTTTTCTCCTTTTGCAGGCATGAAAAGTGAGTCTCAGAAGGGACAGTAACTTGCCCACAGTTACACAGTTACTGCGTGGCGGTGGGGATTTGAACCCAGGCCTGCCTGACTACAGAGGCGTGGCATAGAAGACATACATGGGAAAGGCATGGGGAATGGTCCCAAAGTGGTCACCGGGCCCCTCCCAGCCCTGCCTCTGTCCCTCACCTGCTCTCTTCCACACGCCCACCCCCACCCCCAATATACACCCTTACTCCCTTGGGCTCTATGGCTGGCACATTCTGTATTAGGAGCCTCCTTGGGTCCCTTTCAAGAGTGAAGGCCCAGCCAGGCTCTGCAGCTCTGATGTTGTTCCTAAGGGAAAGGGCCCAACCCCAAACTGAAGGGTCCTCCCACTTCCTCCCTGGGGTATGTTGGCCCCGGCCTAGAGCCTGCCCTTTGAGCCTCAGTGACAGGCCCTATCAGTTTTGGCCAGAAGCTCCTTGCCACCCTCTGCCAAGAGGACCCTCCCTCCCCTGAAGAGCTCCTCTGAGCACCAGCCCCAGCCAAGGGGCTGGACTTGCTGCCATGTGCCACCCACCGGCTTCAGAACTCAGGTTATAAAACTGTCTTTCTTGGAAGCGGGAGACAGAGACCAGGGAAAGATTCCAGACAGCCCCATTCGTGGAGAGGTAAGGACCAAGAGGCTCACAGGGGCACTTCTCCGTGCTTCTTGAGCACCTACACTAATGTGGTGAATGGTGCGGAGGGTCTTAGTGCCAGGCCAACCTGGGTTCAAATCCAGGCTCTCCCACCGACTACCTGTGTGACTTGGGGCAGGCAACGCATTACTCCTCTCTGAGCTTCAGTTTTGTCATCTGTAAAATGGGCCTGCTATCCATGATCCCGACCACTGTGGCGAGGACTCGGTGATGTGATGGGGCTTGTAAAGCTCTTGGCGTGGTGTCTGCCACATAGTGAGGGCTCAAGCAGAAGTCGGGGCTGGTGTGGTGATTTAGGACAAGAGAGGGAGAGGGTGGGAAGATGGTGTGAAGTACTAAGGGCAGGGAGGGAGGAGGGACTGACTTGGGTGAACTGATTGAGGAAAGTGTCTGTCATGGGACTGACAAATAGTGGGTGAATTTTAAATAATCCTAGAAGCAAAATATAAAGAGCTAATGCCATGAGTACAAGTTTTCCCGTCCAAAATTTGCATATGCAAACAAAACCTTTCTTTTCTATACCCAATTATATCACGGTTTGGGGCAGCACCTGTGCCACCAAGCACCAAAAATCTGGATGTTGCTGACTCAAGGCAATGCAGGGCACTCCAGGGCAGGCTCAGCTGCTTTTAGGGGTACCCTGTCCTTGCTCAGGGGAAGCATTTACCCTCTGGGCGGCTTCTTCCTAGGCGTGCGGTGGGGGTGCATCGCTGGCTCCCCGGTGAGCCCTGCTTACGCTAGCATATGTGTCTGCATCCCAGCTGGTCTCTGCCTTGCAGTTTCAGAAGCTGAGTCTCTTGGTGACACACTTTTGCCCACCTACCCCCACCTGCAGGCTCCGGGGTCCTGACTGTGCCCTTTTGGCCACCCTCTGCAGGGCTGCAGTTCAGCCGATAGGACCCCATACAAACATACTAGTTGTAATATTGAAATATTTCCTTACTAGTTGGTAAAAAGCCATGGCTGCAAGTCCCAGGGGCCTAGCTCAGCCACTATGGTGCCTCCCCCAGGACCCTTCCCTGTCCTCCTCCAGATCCTGAAGCTTCCATGGCTAAAAGGGAACACTACATCTTTAAACATCTCACAGTGTGGCCCGGCCACTTTAACAGGGGTTAGGTCCGTTGCTTGCTCAGGGCTTGGTGCATATTGTTGAATGTATTCCTCACAATTAATGTTTAATCCCAATTTTACAGATGAGAGGTCAGAGGTACAGAGAGATCAAGTAACTTGCTCAGGGTCACACAGTCTGGGAGTGGCAGAGCCCAGATTTGAAGCCAGCCCACACAAGGAGGAAGGGCACTCCAGGCAAAGAGAACTAAAGGCACTAGTGTGAGGTGGTGGGGAGTGCAGGCTGTGTTCATGGACCAGTGGATCTGGAGCTAGAGGAGAAGCAAGGCGAGGAAAGCTGGAGAGATAGTTCTAGAAGAGGCAGAGCTGGGAGACGCTAAGCAATGGGTCCCTGGTAAGGACATGGAGGTGACATGGGGCTTCCCAGCTCTGTGTCCATAGGTCCTGGCCCTGAGGATGCTGCTGTTCTGGGGGTCACTGCTATGCTGGGGGCTGCTGCCCCAAGCCCAAGGGGAGGCCCAGCACCTGCTCTTCCTACGGATCAGCAAGGACCAGCTAGAAACAGGTAAAATGTAAGGGGTGGGCCGAGGGAGGCAGGCCCGCAGGGAAGGAGAAGGGGGAGAGATGGCACCACCTCCCAATTCAAGGCTTCTCTTCTGGCCTCCCCCTCACCAGCAGCAGAATTTGCCTTCCTTCACTGAGAGCTGACCCTATCCTTCCCCTGCTCTCACACTGCTGTGGCTCCCCAGTACCCTCAGGAAAACCTCCAAGCTCCTCACACTGGCATTCAAGGCCCTATATGTATGTCCAGCCCCTCCCACCACCACTGCCCTAGCCACCCCATAGACGCCCCAGCTTCTTCCTTTGCTAGTGCTGTTCCTTTTGCCTACTGTGCTCTTTTCGTTCTTCCCAACACGGTGAATTCCAACTCATTCTTTAAGGCAAAGCTCTAATGGGAATCCCTCCTCTGATGGGAATCCCTCCCAATCTCCCCAAGCGGAAGGTCTCCTCCCGCTGGGCTCTCACCACCCTTCGGTGAAGCCTTGTCAATGGCCTTATCCACGTGGATTGCACTTGCCCTACTTGTCTGTCTCTCTCCCTAACTTTTGGCCGTGAGCTCCTTGTCCTCCATGCACCACAGTCCTACCTCATTGATCTGGTTCATAAACTCGCCACCTCAGGGCCTTTGCACATGCTATTTCCTCTGTTTACATTGCTCCCCTTCCCCTCCCCCAATCTTGCAATAGTGGATTTCTTCACCTCATTCAGGTCTCAGCTCAAATGCCTCCTCTTCTGTGACCACCCTTTCAGTCATGCTCCAACCCGACTCCGTTTTATTTTCTATTCACTGCCTAGCACTTTCGAAATTGCTGTGCTTGCTTCCTTGAGTGCTCAGTGTGGTCTGTCTCCCCACCAGCACGTACAGCCCATGAGGGCAGGAGCCACATGGCTCCCGTTCCCTGAGCCAGGAGAGAGTGAGCACGTAAGTACTTGTTGCTAAATGATCACCTACCTCACTGGCCCAGGGCAGGTGCGGGTGAGCATTTGCTGAATGACTGAATGAACGGTGAGCCCACGCCGAGGGCGGCCTTGTGTCCTGTGTCCTCAGATATTTCAGACTTGCTCTCGGAACACCACATCCTGGGCCGCATGGCCAGGATACCTGTGACGGGCGCCACAAGTGAAGGTATCGCCATCCTGGACCACCTGCCCTTCGTAAGAAAAGGCCTCTCCAAGAAGAGCAGTGGGCTTGACCTGTCGCTGGTCGGGGACCTGCTCTCGGGGAAGAGCCTCCCACTGCTGGGGCAGCTGCTCCAGGCGGGCGGGTGAGTAAACCGAGGCTGCTCTGGCCAGTCTTCCCCCTCAGGCGCCTTGTTCTCACCAGGCAAATGCAGCACCAGGAGGGTGGTGGGAGGCCTGGGTGTCCTTGGAGGTTCTCTACAGCCTGGGAAGCGCCCAGCAAGGGCATTTTTCTTCTTCTTAAACCTCTCCACGACACTTGAAATCTCCCACAGAATAACGCAGGTCTAAATCAGGGATCTCTGTCTGGTAGCCCTCCACATTCAGTCTGCACCTGGGAATTACAAGCTTGCCTAGTGTTCTTAAAAGATATTTTAGCAAATTGCCAGCATTTAAAAATCAAGAGGGTTTTCATCAAATTCTACACTTGAATTCAGACAGGGTAAATGTGTATAGGCGGCTCCTCCACTGTATTCTCCCCTTTTGTAGAAGGTGAGGCACTGAGGTCTGGAGAGAAAAAGGGACCTGTCCAGGTCTTCAAGGCTTGGAGCTGGAACTAGAGCCCAGTGTTCTGCAGCTGAGCTGGGGGTCAGGGAGGGGTGGTCCCAAAGCTGCCCCACCCTTCCTGGGGTCCACTCCTATTCTAGCCATCACACACACACACACTCCACAGAAGCCTTACCAGGCTAGGCCACCACCCATACCTCTCACAGGTTGGTCATAGAAGATGCCAAAGGACCCGAGGTCACCCTGCAAGTCCTGAGCGACAGCCTGCTGCAGGTCACACTGCGAAGCAAACTGTACCTCTCGCTCCAGAGGTGAGTGCCCTGCGCGTTTCCTCCCACCTGCCTCAGCAAGCAGCAGGCCGCCGTGCACTGCTGGCAAAAGCTTGCTGCCTGTGTCACCATAAGCATCATAAGAATCCTTTCCGCTTGAGCATGTTTCAAAGCCATTTTTACTGATGGGGAAACTGAGGCACTGAGTGGGAGAGGGACCTGCCCCAGGTCACACGGTGAATCAGCAGCAGAAGCTGAGATAAAACCCTCTGACTTCCATGTCACCCCATCTGCATAAAAGGCAGATGCATTAACAGGATGGTCTGAGAAGGATCTAATTCAAGGTCACCTTGGAGTTCAGCACACCTAGACTCCAATCCCGCTTACCATCTAGGTGACCTGAGCAAGGGCGTCCGTTCCCTGGGCCTTAGTTTCCTCACCTATAAAATGGGGATAATCAAGTCCCCTGCTGTACTTGGCTACTGAGAAAGTTCACTGCCTATGTGAGTTCAGATTGCTCACTAAGCTGTGGAGGAAGATGCTGACCTGGGGTTATAAAAACAACAGCCAACAGGGGAAGTGCTATAGCGGTATTTGCACATGAAACAGGAATATTTTTTAATATACTTTTATTGACTTCAGAGAGTAAGGGAAAAGACAAGTCCCCTGCTGTACTTGGCTACTGAGAAAGTTCACTGCCTATGTGAGTTCAGATTGCTCACTAAGCTGTGGAGGAAGATGCTGACCTGGGGTTATAAAAACAACAGCCAACAGGGGAAGTGCTATAGCGGTATTTGCACATGAAACAGGAATATTTTTTAATATACTTTTATTGACTTCAGAGATGAAGGGAAGAGAGATAAAAACATCAATGATCAGAGAGAATCACTGATCACTTCCTCCTGCACACACACATCCGCGCTCCCACCCCCCCCTCCCCCACCACTCCTGCTGGGGATCAAGCCCGCAACCCAGGCATGTGCCTTAACCAGGAATCGAACCTCGACCTCCTGGTTCATAGGTCAATGCTCAACCACTGAGCCATGCCGGCTGGACAAGGAATATTCTTAAATGCCCTTTAGAAATATGTATTTTTGTAAAATATGGTTTTCTTGGTCTAGCTTCCCTTTTTGATAGAGGAGCACAAAGAAACATTTCTTTAATGGAGATATTGGCATAGAAAATATCTCTCTGCTATACAATAAATATATCATCACCCTTGTGATGTGTGCAATAAAAATACAACTTGACCCTTGACCTGGTGGAACTGTAGCAAACTGGAGAGCATATAGCCCATCTCAAGGTCACCCTCAGCGCCCCCAAGAGATTGACACTCAGGGAGGACTCTGGCTTGGTATTGTCTGATCTTTCAGGTTTTCCAAAGTGTAAAATCCATATCCTTTTTTCCCCATCACCATTTATCCCTCATGCTCTCTTCTACCTCCACCCCCTCAGCAATCACATACAGTTGTACATGTCCAGGAGTTCTCTCTTCTTTTTTCTTTTTTGCTCAATCACTCCACCCTCCCCTGCACCAACACCCGAGCTGTCTGCCTGCTTTCCATGAGTCTGTCTCTATTTTGCTTGGTAGTTCATTTGTTCATTAGTTCCGCCTATATGAATTCCATATTCTCTGTCTCTATTTTGCTTGGTAGTTCAGTTTGTTCATTTAGTTCCGCCTATATGAATTCCATATTCTTTTTTTTTTCAATATGTATTTTTTATTGATTTCAGAGAGGAAGGGAGAGGAAAAGAGAGATAAAAACATTTATGAAAAGAATCACTGATGGGCTGCTTCCTGCATGATCAGGGACCAAGCCCGCCACCCGGGCATGTGCCCTGACCAGGAATCTAACCGTGACCTCCTGGTTCATGGGTCCACATTCAACCACTGAGCCACTGCGGCCGGGATTGAATTCCATATTCTTAATCAACTCTCCTAGTGTTTCATTTGAGCCCTCCAGGCCGTTGCAGACCACTAGCCTGTGACTTCTGGTCTCAACCTTGGCCTGTGGCTTGGAGCCTGCCTAGACACACTGCCCCTACAGGATCCTGCGGCTCAAAGTCATCAAGAACATCCGCATCGGGGTACGGCTGGAACAGATGGGGAACAAGACCAAGGTGGCCTTTGAGGAGTGCCATACCCCACCAGGATACCTGAGCATCAAGGTTCTGGAGCAGTGAGTACCTGCCCACTCCTGGGCCTCCACTGGGTAGGGGTAGATGCCAGGCCTTCGTGCACTGCTCCTGCAGCTCGGCCCCTCACTGAGACTCTCCAGCATAGTTGTCTAGAGTGACCAAGGACATCAGGGACAGGATCATCGCCAAGGCCACAAGCCGCACCACCCTTCAGTATCTCCAGCCTCAACGCTGAATGTCACGGCTAAGAGTGTGCATCAAATCTCGGCTCGGCTGCTTTCTAACACTGGGGCCCCGAGCCAAGCCATCTGACTTCTAGGAGCCTCCGTTTCCTCACCAGTAAAATAGGATTTCTCACAGAACCCAGCCAACATGGGTGGTTGTGGGGAACAGATGAGTTAACCCATGGGACCCACTTAGCATTAAACCTACCACATAAGGTGGCCTCTATCTATGATTCTCAAATTACCCGGCACAAAAGCCATTTCCTTCATGAAACCCGCCGTGACTTCCACTGCCAATTGTGATCTCTCCCTCTTTGAAAATCACAGAAACATTTATCAGAGAGAGAAATAAGGAGGCAGAGGCAGGGAGGAAGAATCAGGAAGAAATAAAGAAATAAAGCAGGAGAAAGTGAGGGAGGTAGAATGCAAGAAGGCAGGAAGGATGAAAAAGCAGAAAAGGAAGGGGAGGAGAGAGGAGGGAGACGTCAGGCGAGGAAGGAAGCAGCCACTCTGAATTTCCACGTTACACAGGCCCAGGGAGACCTTCCTCAGCTTTGCCCTGGACTCCCCGTCCTGGCCTCAGTCTCCCACTCCATGGTGTCTCAGACCCCATCTGCTCTCCCCGGCCCCTAGGATGAACCCCCTCCTGGTGAATGAAGCTCTGGAGATGGTGACAGGTGTCCTGGACCAGGCATTGCCCTTCCTCCTGCAAAAGATAGTGAGTTGCTCACCCCCCCCCCCACCTCCCCCTGGAAAAGGAGCACAACCCCAAAGGAGAGCCCTCCAACCTCGCCCAACCCCCACAAAGACCCCCTCGTGCCTTCCCTCCAGGTGTGCCCCGTGGCCACGACCCTGCTCAACTCGCTGCTAGAAGACCTGCTGCCCATCAATCTGTGTATGTTGGTCCAGACTTATCTGTTGTCCCTGTACTGTGTGCCAGGGACTGTCCTAGGCTCTGCTATGGTGGGAAACAAGCCACACAAACCCTGCCCACGGCGTGCCTGCTTTCTAGTGGGGGAGAGAAAGGCAATATGCCTATGACCCTGCAAAGTGGGATTATCAGAGGCCCACAGAGTAGACTGTTGTGATCATGCATATAACCTGGCACAAAGGTATTGCTCAATAAGTGTCATTATTATAAGCACAGCCCAGCGCATAAAGAACTTAAAGCTGAGCAGAGAGGGAGAACAAATTATCCATTTTGCTGCCTCTCCATGCCCCCGTTTCATGTCCTTATTGTCGCCCCAGCCACCTCAGGCCCAGAAGACTTCCAGTACCATGTCACCACCACGGAGTTCACCGAGGAGGCCATCCTGATGAAAGTCTTGGTGAGCCAGCCCCCTGGCCAGGGCAGACCTCCAAGGGCATCCCCTGGTCTGGGGGAGGATGGACAAAGAGGAGAATGTGATGGGGCTTCTCTGGCAGGAGGTACAAAGGGGAGGAGGGGGAGAAGGAGGAGGAAGAAGCAAATGAAGACCCAGGTGCCTGCCCTCGGAGCTTGTGCTGAGCCTGGGGGGTCCTTCCTCAACGCAGGAGAGCAGAAGAGGCCACAGGGCTGCGTGTCCCACGAGCAAGGATCAAGCCCCAACTCAAGGCAGGGGCTGCAGGGCCACGGGTAACGCCCCGTTGGAAGGGACCCCTCAGATGCGGAAACAAAGGCCCAGAGAAAGGATGAGGCTGGCTGCCCAACTCCAGTCCCCATGGAACGAGGGGAGGACAGGAAGGACTTGATAGGAAGGAGTGCTGTTAACAAGGGTGCAGAGAGGGGAGTAGGGTCAAATGAGGGAGAAGCAAGGAAACAGGTCATGGGTCCAAAACCCAGCTCCACCCCCTACCGTGTGTAGGATCTTAAGTAGTCACCTCCCCTCTCTGGGATTCAGCTTCCCCACCTGTGAAATGGTAGCAATAATTGTTCCCATCTCATGACGCCGTTGTGGGGTTCAAATGAGACTGCGCACAGAAACGTTCAGCGCTATGCGTGGCACATAGTGAGCCCTCGATGTATGAGCTGTAACCAGTTGTTGGCCAAGGAGGCCGTTCCCATGGAATTTCTTCTTCCCCCTTCATTTCTCTAAAGCTCGTGACCCCCTGTGGCCCAGGCCAGAGGGCCCCAAGGTCTGACCACCTGGCCCCCCAGCCCCTCCCAAAATTAGCCCAGGGCAGCATGGCAGACCTGGCCTTTTGGGTGGAAGCCTACAATGACATCCTGTCCTGCCTCTACACCAGCAAGGAAGTCCGTGTGGACGCCCAGGACTCCACGGTGAGTGCTGAGGAAGGGGAAGGAGGGTGGGACATGACAAATGTCACTGCTCTGTTTTCACATGAAGAAGCCGAGGTAGAGCTGGCAGAAATCTCTTTGTGGGTGGCCTAGGTAAGCCACTCCTCCTCTCTGGACCTCACCTGGATAACTCCTCCAGCACAGAAGTCCCTTCCTCCTGGAAGCCGTCCTTAAACTCCCAGGCCCCTTGTTACTCGCTTCACAAAACTTATCCATTCATTTGTGCCACAAACATTTATTAACGGCCTTCTGTGTGCCAGGTCCTGTGCATACCGGTCCCTGCCCTTGCAGAACTCAGTCAGACTGGGGAGTAGAAACCGAACAAGAAAACAGTCAGATAGCCCTAGCTGGTTTGGCTCAATGGATAGAGCATCGGCCTGAGGACTGAAGGGTCCTGAGTTCGATTCCAGTCGGGGGCACGTGCCTGGGTTGCAGGCTCGATCCCCAGTAGGGGGCGTGCAGGAGGCAGCCGATCAATGATTCTCATCATCGATGTTTCTATCTCTTTCTCCCTCTCCCTTCCTCTCTGAAATCAATAATATAATATAATATAATATAATAATATATATACATATAAACAGATAAATGAAATAATATAGAGCAATGGATCAGTAAGTGACTGGTGGAGATGAGAGGGCTCCCTCCCCTGCACAGGGAAGTCAGTGAAGACATCTCTAAGGTGGTATCTGACTGGTGACGAGGCACACACACGGAGGTCTGCAAGAAGAGCACGTTCCCTGGGTCAGTGAGGGAATCGATGAGGGAGAAAAACAGATACATCACTGTCAAAAGCCTCCAGCAGCTCCTTGTCACATTCTAAATAAGTCAGTCTCCTCTGTGCCACTCCTGGGGCCCTGCATGATCTGACCCCTGCCCACCTCTCCAGCCTTATCTCCTCACCTGCTACACTCCAGACACACAGGCTGAGCTCGGCTCCCACCTTAGGGCCTTGGCACACGCTGGTCTCTCTGCCCAGGACTCTCTTCCCTCCACTGCTGGTCTCAGTGCAAATGTCATCTCCTCAGAAAGCCCCTCCTTGATCACTTCATCTAAATATCTAAAGGAAGCTTTCTCTCCCCCCACCTCTTTCTCTCTCTCATTCTGTTCTTTTCCCTTCAAAACACTGATTACTGTGTATGTATGAATAAAGTTACATATGCAAAGTTTTACACACATATATATACACACATATGTGTATTTGTATGTTTATTTATTTAACTTTGTATGTTTACTGTCCCCCCATTTTAAGGGCAGGGACTGTGAACAGGATACTATGTGAAGGACACACAGTGGGTCCTCAGTAAACACTGAAATAAGATGCATATCTGGAAGAGTTCTAATGTTATTGCTCCATTTCCACATGAGGAAACCAAGGTCCAGATAGGGAAAGTGACTGGCCCAAGGTCATCCAGCAGGTGGAATTAGGACTGGAGCCCGTCTCCTGCCTCCTCATGCTCTTCCCTCCAACCTACACAGGTGTGGCAGCTCTGAAACAGTTAGACGTGAGCCCTGTAATTCCATGTCCAGAGAAATTCTTACACCAGTGGGCAAGAATGTATGTGCAAGGGGGTTCTTTGTAGCTTCGCTTGTTATAGGGAGAAAAGCAAAGTTAACCTAGGTGTCCATCAATAAGGAACTTAAAAAATAAATCAGGTTATGGTCATAAAAAGCAGAATACTATGCAACTGTTAAAAAGAATGGAGTTGTTCTATATGTACTGATGGTGAGAGGACTAAACAAGGTGTAGGGCCACATGGTTAAAATTTTCCCATCTATTCATGCTTATATGTGTATAGAAAATGTCTGTCAGGATATACTCCAAAATATCAACAGTGGGAACCCCTGAGAATAGGATTTAGGGAAAAGGGGGAAGAGGTGTTAGAGTAGACTTTTACTTTTTACTTTATACAATTTGTTGTGTTTTTCATAATGATTTATGATCTTCAAAAATCAATGCAGCATAGGTAAATTGATAGAAATGTGATGTACTTGCTTTAAATATAGGAAACTATTAATAGAAGAATCTCTAGGTGATAAGTACACAAATGTTTTCTATAAAGTTCTTTCACCTTTGATGCATGTGTGAAAAATTTCACAATAAAATGTTGGGGGGGGGGTCATTGAAACAAAGAAAGGTTACTCTTTCCAGGTAAATCATAATGAGACTCCAGGTAAATGGCTCCTCCCGTGCAGACTGACTGATGTGCAGGTGGTGCATTCTGTTGGGGACAGAACCCCAATGGACATGCCCCAAACCTGCTCAGAACAAATCTAAGGATTCTAAAGGCCAACACACATTTTTCCCTTTTCCCAGGCTGCCGACCTCATTCAGCTGTTGTCACTGAGAGAATTGGAACCCAGGCCCGAGGTGAGTGTGTTGCCAGCTCCCCACCTCCCACCCCGCCCCCAGCTCCCTGGCAAGGATCCCAGAAAAGATTCGGGGTGGGGGAGCAGGATCTGGCCCCCTGGGCATGACCCATTTGGCCAGAGTTTCATCCTGTGGACTCACAAAATCATTGCACTTGCTTTACGGATGTTGTGAGAATTAAAGGAGATAAGTAAGGCACTCAGCTCAGTGCTCTACCCAGTGACCATGGCATGTGGCTGTCATTATCCAATACCGAACAAGACACCAGCCTACTGAGGCACAGTGAGTGGTGGCTGTGTGCCAGCCGTAATTCTCAGCAAACCTGCACTCTCACACATTTTCATACATCAGCAAACAGGTTCAGCATGCTGGATTCACTTGCCTAAGCTCACATTGCTCAGTAAGTGGCAGAATCAGAATTTGAACCCAGACCCAGACTCCAAAATTCGCGCTCAATGTCCTCTCTCCAAAGCTCTTAGAACATGGCACCTGATGGACCAGCAATAACAATAACGACAATCGATAACAATCGCATTACTGGGTGCCCGGTTCTGTTCTAAGCACTTGCTATAAATTAATTCATTTTATCCCCACAATGACCTTATAGGATAGACATGATTATTATCCCCATTTTACAAGTATGAAAACTGAGGCACAGAGAGATTAAGAAACTTGTCTCAGACCACACAGTTTGCAAGTGGTGGAGCTAGGACTCGAGCTTCAAAATCTATGTTCTTACCTGCTATGCATGCCCAGGAGGAGGATGTAATCTTACCTCCGAGGAGTTCAGTGAGATAGTAACCTTCTCAAGGTCACACCGCAGTTTGCTGCAGAGCTAGAACAAAAACTCAAGACCCCGTGACTCCTCAGGTGGTCTTTTCCCCGTTCCTCCAAACTGGGGGCTAAGAAAAGCCATCTTCTAGGCCTGCCCACACCTCTTATGCTTCAACTTCGTTCTGGCTTTTAAACAGTCCCCAGGAAGAACGGGGCTGACCATCAGCACCCCTGACCCTCCCACGGTCCGCCTCGATGGTCACAGGGCCACCGTCATCCAGCAGGGCTCCCTCGTGCTGCTGAGGCCCAATAACACCTCCTCTGTCTCCGTTTCCTGGGTGAGTTAAGCCTTGAACTTCTTTGTTCCCCAGGGGCCCTGGGTCCACTTGAGGGCCCCTCCCGGGCCCTGCCTGAAGCGGTGTGACAGAAAAACAGCAGCAAACCTCACTGTCGCATCATCTACTGATAGTCAATCAGTCCGCCCCCAAATAAGCCTGCCGTTAAAACATGAAAAGACTCGAACACCTTCTGCCTCAAGGCCAGGCCCCAGTGCTCCCGAGAACCCCCTCAGCAACTAAAGGGTTTTGCCTCTGAGATCCTCTGCTCAGTGCCCTTACGTGGTAGCATTTTAACTGTCTGCCCTGGACATGGCTGCATCGAGAGCCCTTGTCCACAAAACCAGGAGAAAGATCAGAGAAATGTAGTTGATGGAGGGGCTAAACGTGCCTGCATTCTCTCCTTCCCAAGAGAGAGGTGACCCAAGCTAGAGAGGGCCAGGCCCCGGGGGGAATACAGCTCCCCCAGTTGCAACTTCTCTATCCTAAGCTCCCGGGATTCCTATCTGCCATTCCACAGACCCTGAAATTGGGAAGGTGCCTCATATAAGGGGCGGGAGAGTTGCCCCACTAGCCCAGCCCAGCGGCATCGGTGTGTACAGCACGATCCTGGGATCCTAGTTGGCATGATTCTGGGGCAAAGAAACCAGTCATCTCTGGCTGGTGGTGAGAGTCCTACTTCTAGTTTATAAGGTGACCATGTGGATTATGGTCGTCCATAGACAACCGCCTGAAAAGGAAAGCGTCCTCTGGCTTCCAGCAACCTCAACCCTCAGCCAGCTGGCTCACTGCAAAAGGCTTTCCACCCACTGGGCTGAGTCCCTTCCCTCCTATCCACCCCACCCCCAACCCCGCCTTCCCTGCCCTCCAGGAGCACCCAGCACCCACCTGTGCCCTCTCCTGGGCAACACCAACACAGTCATCATCTGAATACATGCGAACTAGCAGTTGGGGTGCGGGTAGGACTGGGTGAGAGGGGGCTAGCCCGGGGCAAGTACTCATGGGAGGTGGATGTGAAGGGAATAACCTCTAACCAGAATGTAAATTCTCCTCCTGTTCTGACTTAATTTCACTTTGCCATAGAAACTCCTTTCAAAGGCTATGTTTTCCTCAAGAAATCAGAAATTAAAACTCCAGTTCACTCCAAACAGGTAAATTATTTTGGCTTTGGATGTTGCACAAATAAGAAGGCTCACACGGAGAGAGATGGAGGGAGAGTGCAGTTAAGGGGGACAAGTTTTCATGCCTGCTGTCAGCTGAACAGAGTGGTTTATAGGAGGAAGGGAAGAGGGAGACAGGGGGAGAGGGAGGAAGGGAAGGAAGGAAGGAGGGAGGAGGTTGTGACTCGAACCTCACTGAACACTGTACCCCCAAGCAGCTGCCCTGACCTAAAGGGGTGATTTCTTTTCTCTGATAGCACCATGGTCACCCTGGGCACCTACCCTGCTGGCCTTGCAAAGCAGGTGAGTCTTGCCTTGGCCTCTCTACTGTCCTGGAGGCCCCACCAGCAGACCCTGAGTCATTGATGTAGGGAAGTCAAAGACTCACTCACTTTCTATCCCTCATCTCATCTTGCCCTGGAGCCCCCATGCCCACTGGGGTGGGGGGTGCACCCAGGACTTAAACTGGTCCATTTCATTCTTTCGTTCACTTAACACTGAGTATCTGTCACGTGCCCACCTTGTCTTAGGATGCGTCGGTGAACAAAACAAAGGTCCCTGCCCTTGCAGAACTCACATTCATAATATATAATATATAAGGTAAATTATATATTATGTAGGCAGGTAACAGTGCTGTGGGGAAAGCAGGGGAGGGGACAGAGGATGGGGAGTGCAGGTAGGTAGGGGCAATATTAAAAAGGTCAGGGAAGGCCTCATTGAGAAGGTGAATGTTTGAGCAAAGACGGGAGGAGGTAAGGGAAGGAGCGGTGGGGATATGGGGAAAGAGGGGACCAGACGCCCCAAGGCAGGGTGTGCCTGATCGTTCTGGAAACAGCAGGTGCCAGGGTGGCTGGAGCAGAGAGGGTGAGTAATGGTCAGAGAGGGCACGGCTAGACCCATGAGGACCTTCTAGTCAGGACTGGCTTTTACTGAGTGACATGGAGGAGCAGACGGAAGGGCAAGGGTAGAGGCAACTGAGTGACATGGAGGAGCAGACGGAAGGGCAAGGGTGGAGGCAACGAGGACACACACACACACCCAGGCTTGCAGATTGTGCAGAGGCGACACACACACACACACACACACACACACACCCAGGCTTGCAGACTGTGCAGAGGCTGCTGAGGCATGAACCCCATGGTGGCAGTGGTGGCGGTGCAGGATGTTCTGAAAGTAGAGCTGACAGGATTTCCTGGTGGAAAGGATGGGGAAGGTGAGAGATGCATCCCGGATGACATGGGATTTGGAAGAAAACAGCCTCTTTCAGGAGAATACTCAGTTTGTGCCTCCAGCAGGGCTGTGGGCCCCCTCTCTGGGTTTCCTCACCCCTGAGCCCCGCGTCCTAAACCACGGCACCCACGTGCGGCCGTGTGGGGTTTCTGCGGTCCTGTGCCTGGTCTGGCCATTCCTGTGAATGAGTCCACAGGGCGGAGCACGTGGTCTCTTCCCCCCAGGGGTTGTCCCTGCTCCTGCACTGGAAGAGCTCTGCACTACCCTGCCCGTCCGAGGGAGACCCATGCCATCCCCTCCTCCCACCCTAGGGACATCCCATCACCCTCCACTTCCACAGGCCTATGCGCCTCATGCTCTAGGCCTTCTCAGGAAAAGCTGCAAGATGGAAAAACAACAACAGGACTGAACGAGAACATGTAGAGAAAGCACTTCAGAATGATCATGCCTGTTCTACCAGGTCTTGCTCCAGCCTTACTTGGGGAGACCAGGGTTGAGAGGCCCCGGTCAGGGAATCCCTTCCCAGACAGCCTCAGAGGGCAGCCATCCAGACCAGGGCTACATGTACGGTGGGACAGGATGTGCACTGGACAAGCCACCCATCCCACAGACAATGCAGATATGAATATGTCCATGACAGTCTCCCAACAGATGGGGAAAGTGTGTCTTGAAGAAAGGGGGTCTTTAATGTTTTTATTGATTTTTTTAGAGAGAGAGAGAGATGGATAGAGAGATAGTAGAAATATCACTGAGAGAGAAACATTGATAGGCTGCCTCCTGCACGTGCCCTTCTGGGGATCAGGCCTGAAACCCGGGCATGTGCCCTGACCTGAACCGAACGGGCAACCTCTTGGTTCATGGATCGACACTCAACCACTGTGCCACACTGGCCGGGCAAGAAAGGGAGTCTTAATGAATGTATGCAACTTAGATCCACAGGCAAGGCCTTCGAGGTGACAGGAACAGTAAGAGCAAAGCACGGAAGAAGGCATGTGCAAGGTATTCCATTCCGTCTGCAGGGGAGCAATGGGAGATGGAAGTGGAGGGAGGGAGAACCAGGGCTACATGTACGGTGGGACAGGATGTGCACTGGACAAGCCACCCATCCCACAGACAATGCAGATATGAATATGTCCATGACAGTCTCCCAACAGATGGGGAAAGTGTGTCTTGAAGAAAGGGGGTCTTTAATGTTTTTATTGATTTTTTTAGAGAGAGAGAGAGATGGATAGAGAGATAGTAGAAATATCACTGAGAGAGAAACATTGATAGGCTGCCTCCTGCACGTGCCCTTCTGGGGATCAGGCCTGAAACCCGGGCATGTGCCCTGACCTGAACCGAACGGGCAACCTCTTGGTTCATGGATCGATGCTCAACCACTGAGCCACACTGGCCGGGCAAGAAAGAGAGTCTTAATGAATGTATGCAACTTAGATCCACAAGCAAGGCCTTCCAGGTGACAGGAATAGTAAGAGCAAAGCACGGAAAAGGGCATGTGCATGGTATTCCAGTCTGGCTGCAGGGGCGCAATGGGAGATGGAAGTGGAAGGGGGGGAGAGAG